GATTTGAGAGTTTGCTTGCACCTTTTAGGCTCTTTTTTATAATTTAAAACTATTCAACTATAGCTAAATAAATTCTATTATGTTGCTGTAACATTCCAGTGAGCATAGATGGTTAGACACTGTCACAGGGAAAGGTTTAAACCAAAAGATGCAGTTTCACATGTAAAATGTCCATCTCTGAGCACTCAGTAAGAGCTGAGAGCTCTGAGCAGTCAGGAAGGATTAAGATAGATGGAAGCAAAAAGGCTTTCTGGCTGTACTTTGAGTCACTGCTCACCAGGAGAGCTGCATCAAGTGCAGATCACTGAAGTTAACTCTGGTCTGAAAACACCTTTTCTCTCAGACTGGCACAGCCTTTCAAAGGAGCAGCTGCTCCTTCAGCAGGTGTAGAGATGGTTAAATCATAGAATGGTTTGGGCTGGAAGGGACCTTAAGGATCATCTACTCCCCCTGCCATGGGCAGGGACACCTTCCACTACACCAGGTTGTTCAAGCCCCATCCAACCTGGCCTTGAACACTGCCAGGGATGGGGCAGCCACAGCTTCTCTGGGCAACCTGGTCCAGTGCCTCACCACCCTGAGGGAAAAATTTCTTCCTTAGATCTAATTGAAATCTCTCCTCTTTGTTTAAAGCTATTTAAACTGCTGCAAACGTAACTGAAAGTTAAATGTAGCAGTTGGGCTGCTGCTGATCTTTTTTGAGTCAGTGCATCAGTGTATCAGCTCAGTAAGCTGCTTTCTTGCCCACTCGGACATGGGGGAAGGTCTTTCCTTTCAGAGTAACAGTCCTGGTTCTCCCTGGGCAGCTACGCACAGTGCAATGAGACTGAGGCAGCAGAATCAAAACAAAAGATGACCAAAATGCCCCCTCTTTAAAGAGGGATGTGCTGGCTTGGTGCAATCCAGTTCAGGAGAACCCAGCCTCCTGCTGCTGAGGAACCTCCATCTCTGTCCATGGAGCTGGACTCTACTCCCTCAAGAGTGTGGTAGGCATTGCTGTTCCTTTGAGGTGTACTGGGGAAGTCAGGAGGGCAGCTGGAAGACAGGAATTCCATCTGCTCCCCCCTGCCTGGAAGCTGCAGCTGTGCTGCCCCTCTGTGTCTGCAGCACTTACTCTGCTGCCTCATGTCGAGGCAAACCTGTAGCTCCTGCTCCAGCTTGCTTGGGTGAGGCTGGAAACTCAGCCTGGAGATCCTCCACTCGCTGCCTTTAAATGTGGGGTCCACAGAGTCCCGACAGCCAGACTGCCACGAGGTAAAACTAACAACCAGAGCAGGATGATGTCTGGTATTTCTTCCTGAAAGTTCCTTCCAGCTCCATGGACCACGTGGACGGCGCTCTTCAAACAAGTAATAAAGTGACTGGCATGTAAATATGAAATATCTTCTAATTTATTGTGTTACATTTAAAAAAAAAAAGTACATATTGCAAACATCAACCATACACTGAAATCCAGCTCAAGCTTTTTTGTGCATAAGTAGAAAGTGGGAGGGAACGATTGTACAGAACAGAGGAATGTGCTGCTCTCGTCCAGGAACCACAACTCCATGAAGACTCCAAGGTTCTGCCCACCCTTTGCTCTAAGGTAAGACAGGAGCTGGGAGCCTTCCACAAGGGCTCCAGGCAACTGGAGCTCAGGGTGGGATCTAAAAACCTGCCTTCTCTAAGTCCAGGAGCAGCTGCTTTGGTGCTACAGCTACTCTGCTACATGTGGGAGTAAAGACCGTGTCCACAAGCTTTAGGTCAGTGGCTGGTGGCTGCTCTTGCCTCCGCTGTGCAGCCTGAACTGTTACAAGCAGCAGATTTACTCCAGCTTTTCTGCGTTATGCTGATGGACAAAACCACTTCCACAAGTCAGATGTGCATCAGCTCTGCTGTACTGTCACCGTGCGTGTCTGCTGTGGGGTGCTGCAGAATCAAAGCAGACAGGTCTGCGCTCCCGTTAATACGAGGCAGTACTGGATAATCTAAAGAGCTGCTTGAGAGCAGGACAGCTGCCCTGGACTCCATCTTCACCTGAAAGCTGCAGAGGCAAAACCATTTACAGTAAAAAGGCTCAAGAGCTGAGAGCATTTGTGCAATGGCATTAACAAAAGTCTCTCTCTCTCTCCCCAGTCCAAGGACAAGTGGCCAGTAGGTAAAGGACGTTCTCACACGACAGCAGTACATCTTTACCACACAACTACAGCACGCAGAGGGTTAAGTCAGGAGCACGTTAGGCAGAGTCTGCCCATAACTGCAGTAACAAAACTGAAACTTACTCAAACTCTCCTGGAGTGACTCACTAAACCAACAGCTATATAAACCACTGTACAAAGATTAAAAACAATCATCAACCTGGTTTTTAAGAACTTAGTTTGCAAAACCTGAACGAGGAAATCCTGAAGCCAGTTAAGAATCTATTTACAGGTAAGTTAATCACAGAGATGTGATCTGTCAGGTGCTTAGCGCTGGTGCCAACACATGGCACCTCCTGGAGCTGAACCTGCTCTTGCACCCCAGGACACGGCAGGATTTTGTTTGAGCAGCCAGTGCTGGGCTGCTGGAGCCCCTCCTGTGCTCTCTGGGGGAAGCAGGGCGTCAGCACAGCACAGGGTGAAGATGGCCTGTCCCTCCTCTTCCTCAGGAGAGAGGCAGCGAAGCAAGGTGGGTTTGCTGCAGGACTATCGCTGTGTTCTATGGTATCAGCTGGTGTTTCCTTTTCACCCGCTGCTGGCGGGCAGGAGCACAGTGGGACTGGTGGGACACGGGAGTGAGACTGAAGGGCTTTCTATAGTGCAGAGTCTAGAGCCCTTCAAGAGCACTAGGTCTGGTTCAGATGCTCAGAAACCCATAAACAGCCCAGTAACATGCCAGTAAGTGTCAAAGTACACAGTGCTGGAGAAACAGAGCGACCCGGAGGACTTTCCTTCCACACTCCCTAGCTTATCACTGAAGGGAGAGGCACTGGGTCCTTCACAACAATGATCTGCACCATGGACTTCTACAAACCCAAGGTGTGTTGCAAACGTTCAAGTACAGCTTAAAACAGAAGCCTGTAACTGTCGGGACACAGCTGAAGCTGCTGCACTACAGCGTTAACTGAGTTCTTACCGAAAAATCAGCAGCTGAAGAAGCCAGAGGAGACAGGCAAAACAACCACACCTGCCACAGGCAACAGCTGTCTGTAACTTAGAAAAGTCTTTGGTTACTAGAAAGACGACCTCAGCCTAACTTTGAAATCGTTTTAGCTCTCCTTGATCCACTAATTGCACCACTGAGCAAACACTTCATGCTTTATTTTAGCCTCTACAGAGATGCTATCCACAGCCTGCGATGTAACTGCTATTGGAAAGGGAAGCCTTGGAGTAACGAAGCTGGTGATGCTGACAACACCTTTGGTTTTTAAAACGTTAACGTGCCATTAACAGCCCTGAGCCAGGAGTAGGAATCCTTGCAGCAGAAGTGGGCAGAAGCAAATAACCACCTCACCGAGAGGAACGCGGAGCTGCTGCTCCATCTGAGACGTCTGGCCACTAAGGCCAGCGCAAGATATTCCAGATGAAGGGTCAAAAAAAACTCTAGAATAGGCCAAAGTACTCTGGTGCCTGCCAAGGTGCCAGCCTGATGGCAAGTCTAAGGCTTCCTCCGTTGGGTTGCTCTCCCTGTCAAGATTTGTTCCATTAGCCATTACAGCTGTGGCTCTGCTCCTCACCCTTCAGCATCCCGTCCTATCGAATAACACACCACCTTCCACTGCAACTGGTACTCGACTCCACAACAGGCAACGAGAGACGAGGAGGTAGATAAAATATTCATTTGTAATAGAAAAGTACTCTTAGAAAACTAGGCTACGTAGGTCTTCTCTACACAACACTTTAGCTCTGCCCTTCCACACACAGCTGCCGTTTCTGAAAAGACTTGGAATACGCTCAGGATAAAGTCAAAAAAAGGAAAAACTGCCTCTGGGCCACTGTCTACTCCTCTTCCCCATGGTACTCGCGTTGCCCTCGCTCAGAGCAAGACGATGCTCCTGTATCAGTTACAGAGCTGAACGTGGGCTGCTGGGCTCCCACCTGTGGCAGGCTGGCACGGGGCGTTTGAACCTGCGCTGACTGTGCTCTACCTGTAGTAAAGCACACGCAGCGTACCGCCCCGTGACGATGGGAACCAACTCCCCAGCTGAGATCCAGGGCCAGGCAGAAGTTCTAAGCGCTAACTGGTAACACCACCACCACCCTCAGGAAAAGCAATCAGGTACAATTTGCTCCCGCTCCTCCTTTTGGAGGAATTTTAACATTTTCCACCCTTGAGCTGCACGGATAAAGCAGGGGGAGTTCTCCACAGTTCAGTGCTGTAGAAGCTTCACTGAACGCTTTGGGGAGCAGGTCCCGGGAGCCACAGCCAGGCACCTGGCAAGCCGAGCCCAGGTACGTCTCCCTGCTCCCTCCCAGTGCTCCGAGAGGGCTCCCTCTGCCCCCCAGCACTGCTGGAATCGAGTCAGCACATGTCAGTTGTCCTTCCAGGAGTCACGCCAAGGCACTCCTGAGCTACCAACCCTGTCGCCTACAGGCCTGGGAGAAAGGGAGCTCGGCAGTAGCTCCGGTGTGTTTAGATCACTGCGTTTCTCCCACGCCTGAAAGCCTCGGAAGAGACGGGGTCAAGGAGTGCCCTGAAGGAAGGTATATGGCTGACTGACCTTTTTTTTGTTTGTTTTTCTTTTGCTTTGTTTTTAAAGTGCAGGATAATTACTAAAGCCAAAGGAAGGCAGCCCTCTTCCTCTCGAGCCACAAATTAGCAAAGACAAGAGTGCTACAAATTCAGGGCGTTTCTCCAGATGCTCAATAGGTCCTTACAGTATCTATCGTACACCCAGTAACCTTACTCACTCTTGTCCCAGAACTACTGCATTTAAATACCCCAAATGATCTAGTTTGTTACAAAACGTAATTTACAGGCTCCGCTGGTCCCGGCCCTCTGCTGCAGAGGATCGGTCGGAGGAAGGGCAGCACCTTCCCAGCTCACTGATGCAGATGGGCCCTGTCATCCGGCCGTTTGATGTGAATCCTTCGCACGCGTTCGATGCGCTCTCGCTCCTCATCTTCCTCTAGGTGATGGGAGCGGCCGGCGGCCCCTCCTGTGGCTTCCAAGAGCGCGTTGTCGGGTCCCCTCCCGTCCTGGGACTCGTACAGCAGAATGTTCAGCGTCTCCTCGTAAATGCGGGCTTCTGGGAACTCCACCTGCCCACCCAAGAGAGAAACAAGGTCACTCTCAACTATTGCCAGCCACTGCAGGCACCAGATTACCTCATTTTTAATTGCTGATACGCTTCTGGTTTTAAAATTTCTTAATTACACCCTAGGCACAGAAATCCTTTCTAGCACAATGGTTTCTGTTCTACTATTTGCTTTCAGCTTTCGAGAGCCAGCAACCAGGTTTCTTTTTCAGAACTGGCCTGCCCACAGGGCAGACCCACCTGGATTCCTCCTGGGAAAGGTAAGGCGGCACGGGGAAGGCATGCCATTGCTCACCAGGATCTGTCTTTACATAGGATGTAAACCCAGCTTGGTTAAGTGAGCAGGTTTGTCTAAAGAATGAGGAACTGGACTGAACTGGTGTTAGAGAATCTGACAATTGCCCTGTGTTAAGAGCCACAGCCAAGCTGTCCCCGCCCTAACGAACCCACAGGCTGAGCTCCACTGTGCTGCTCCCGCTTGGAATGGCATTGATTATTCTATAGAGACGCAAAACAATGAAAGGAGTGTTCAAAACGGAACAGATGTCAGGATGCCAGTCTGACAGCAGCTGGGCCTGGTGCTGGAAGCACTCAGGGATTTACTCGTACCTTTGTCTGTTTTTTCTCAGTAGCATAAACAATGGAAGTGCAACAGACTTCGGCAATCTTCCGCCCCTGCCCGTAAAAAGACCAGCAGCAGATCTCATCTCCAATCACGTCTTTTATAAAGAGCACTCTCCCGTTAAACCTCAAGGACAGCTTATCGAACAGCTCGATGTTCTTCAGCATGTTGTCGTCGGAGTTGCTGCAAGAGACAGAAAAGAAGGGGGTTTGGGCAGGGAGCGTTCATTCCAGCATCTCCCTTGCCTTACTGCCTCTCTACCAGGGTAGTGTTTACAGGTGGCAGCCAGGACTGCACAGGATAACTCATTTGACTAATACAAGCAGGAAAACCTGCTGCTGAAGAAGCAGCAATACGACGTCAACAGTACCATGAATAACACTGTCCGAGGCTGTTCCATTTTGTACGAGATTCTATCACCCCAACGAAACCATTCCTAAGCTCGAGCTCAGCACCAGCTGGATGGAAACAGCATTTTGCCATGAAACACAGGCAGACATAAAAAAAGGGGGACAAGGCCCCAGACTTGATGATTTTACCACTTACAGAGACCACTGCACCGTGGAAGGCTTCGTGTATCCAAGTAATGTGCTGTAGCCCATGGGGAATGCAGGCCAGCAGTTGGCCAGGAGCCTCTGCCAGCTGCACCTCAGTATTAGAGGAACTCCTCTGGCACAGGAATAGCACACGCTTAGCCTTCCGTTGATGACAGTAGGCTCCCTTCGGACTCAAGTTTGAAATTAATTGGGAAAAAAACGAGTGCATGCCAACACCAATCTGTCATTGGTCCTGGGTGAAGAGAAACCAAATGCTTATCATGGATTTTAGTCTATGAAAAACCTGAAAGAAGTCCCAATAAAGTCATCACCTACCTGGTGTAGGAGTATTTGTTGTTGCTTCTGTTATACAGCAACTTCACTGCTGGCTGTAAGAAACAAACCACAGATCAGTTACGGGAACTGCAGGAAGAGCTGGAGTCTCAGCTCAGTCCAACACCCCACCGCAGAGAAGCTGCAAAACGACACGACACCATCAGGCCCAAGCCTGTTGTTGTTACTGTTGTTGCTGCAAAATTGTCATGCAGGGGTTGGCAAAGGGGCTGCAATCCCTTCTGACCCCTTCTGTGACGAGATCATGATCTGTTCTCACCCACCCTCCGCCTTTTTGCCAAGGCTAACCATTACCACCAGCATCCTCCCCTCTACCTGCCACAGCCAGCAGCCTTCCAGAAACAGGAATCATTGATTCACTTGAGCTAAAGGAAGTGTCTGTCGTTAGTAACCAGAGCAGACAAATAAATTGAAGATCTAAGAGCCCTGAGGACCTGCTCAAGCAGCCTGCTACTGCCTACGCCCTCTATTTTAATACCTTACGTGGAGAAGTACATGGCCAGGCCCAGCCTGAGCAACATTTGACTTTTAATTCAGAAGAAATGTTTAGCCTGCTGTAGAATTTCAGTGCTTTGCAGCTCAGCAGTTGAAGTGCACGTGTTTTAAGACAAGCCCATTGTTGAAAACTAAAGAACACTTCCTAAAGAACACTTGGTCAATGTCCCACGCAAGCCAGCACCCTCCCAGGCCACGGCGCAGCATGGCCTCTCTTACCTTGTTAGAAGTGGCGATAAGTTTTTGCTCTTCTTTGGAAGACGTGATGACTGGTACCTTGCAGAAGGGTTCATACGCATCTTTGTTCTGCTGAAACAAGCATCAAACAGCAGCTGAATGCAAACAGGCCTTAGGGCACCCTCATATTAACAGCGAAGGTCCCGCATGTTCCGTGCTGCAGGGTTCAGTGCACAACCTGTCCCGACACCACACCGAGTATCTGATCCTGGTCCATGCTCTGAACCAGCCTGGCACTCCGGCTACCGGGCAGCACTCCTCTGGGACCACCCGAGATGTTCATTTCTGCCCTCTGCCACTCTGCAAACAGAGGGACTGAATGTTATGTACCTATTTCAATGGCAGGATCTGGAATGTGGCTTCACTCAAACAGGACACCAGTAACAGTGGCTTCAAATCTAAGACGAGCACCTCAGAGGAAAACAAAGAACAAAACGGGACTTCCAGCAGCCTGTGGCTACTGTGGCTACAGGAAGCTGCTCTGGTCCAGCCAAAGGACCCAGCCCACTCTGGTCGATGCTGGAAGCATTAACTTTTGCCACAGAGCTCAAGCTGATGACAGCATTTCACCGTGTAAGGCCCTGAAGAGCAGTGGAGAACGCTGCAGAGGAGCCAGGCTGCTGCCCCTTGCACACTCCCAGAAATCAGCAGAGGGAAACTGGGCAACTGTTTATCCCTCACTGTAACTGGGCAGCACTAAATGTTGAGAACAACTCAGTACCTTTTTCTGGATGTGACCAGACTCCAGCAGATCAATGACATGAAGTATTCCGATTTCATCCCAGCCTCAAAAAGGCAAGTGGGGAGACCAGAAAACCTTGCTCCACCCAGATGCTGCTTCCCACCCAGAGCAGCCTCATTTTTGACCCCTCATTGCTGCCAGGGCAACCTGACTCCTCCTTACCCCTGCGACTTACCTGCAAGGCTGCTTGGCACTCGTCCACCAGCCCCTGGACCAGGTAGTACTTTGCTTCAGCCAACAACTCTTCTATCTCCCTGCGGCTCTCGGGGAGCGGCACAGCCCCATCACGCAGGTAGTTCAGTATTGTCCCAAAATGTTTTCCACAGCGGTCGATCAGGATCCAGCCTAAGGACAGAGGAAGACCACAGTACAGCAGAAGTGGAAAAAGGCCTCAACCCTGGCCTGGGACTGCTGTACCAAGCAGGTTCCTGCGAAAGAAGATGTAACTCCAGTTCCTTGCTTGAGCTGGTGAGCAGAGGAGCAGAAAGCACAGGGAATTTAGCATCTCCTCCCACGTGTCAAGTGCAGAGTATGTGGGAGTAAGGCAGGAAGCTCACCTGTTTCTCATAGTTCCCCAGTTATTGACAAACAATTAACTGGAACAGAGGAATGAGCACTTTTCATTCTCCAACTAACCAGCTCTGTTGTCTCTCTACTCCTGAAGCCCTGATGCATTATTATTTTCTTGCCTTCTATCTTAGGGCCCTGTTCCATAGACGTGTTTCTTACAGACAGCTTACTAAAGCCAACCAGAAAAGACTGTCTAAAGGTGGTTGCACCTCAACACAACACGGGGACCCACCGTGATCCACCATCTCCAGCAGATGTGCAGAAAGGTCAGCAAGAGTGTAAGAGAAAGTGAGGTACAGCCCCTGCCTCGGGGCTCATCCCCAGCGCTGCTCGGGACTGACCACGCTGTGAAGGAAGGAAAACATCCACAAGCAAAAAGCTTTCTGGGGATCAAAGGGTCTGCACCTCACCTCCTCTTGCCAGTCTGCTGCCGGCATCAGGCCGGACCCCGAGGATTGTTGGGCAATGTTGAGGCTCGGGTTTCCATAAATGAACAGATGGCCACGCTTACGGGCCGCAGCTCAGGAATGCAGCGAGGAAACGCTTGTGGGGAAGGAGTCATATTTTGGACAAATAAGGAAAGTAGGTTAAAGCAGACCCTGTGTGTTCTGCATGAATGGAATTGCTAGCAAAGTCTGAACATTTGGTTCGATTTGGAGGAGTGAACGCAGCCCTTTCACGTTGTTCTGTGGAAAAACGAGACCCTCTCCAGCATCTCCCTCCTCACCCTGCTGCCTACATCAAACACAACGTGCGCTCCCAATTGCCATTTTACAGACTGTAACAACCAACAAGAAAGCTGGAGGCAGGAGACCTGGAGGCAGAGAAATCCAAGAGCAAAAGACTGATCCAGGCTCATGAATACCGTACACCTTCCCAGCCAGCGCAGAAAAACGCCCATTTGTCAACGCAGGGGTACCTACAGCAAGATGTCTCATTTTTAAGAGAAGAGGGAACACAAGGCATGGTAATAAACATGGACATCCACGTTCCACAGATGCAGCCCTTGACAGAGTTTACCAGGGCGCAGCAACACGTAGGGAGGGAAAGGGCAGGCTGGAGCAGAACTGTGACCACCCCCCCCCAAATTCTTTGTTATCATCTCTGCTGCGATTCCCTCTGCAGGCTGTAAAAATCTGCTGCAACTTTACGTTTACAGATGGCGAAACCAAAGCAGAATTGCTCACTTTCATGTGGAGGGGGGGATGAGAAAATACTTCGAGCAGCATTGCAAAATACAAGTGACTGCTAAAACAGCTTTCAAAAAACCTTCTGTTTTAACCAAACAGCCAAAACGAGATGACTCACAGGAAAAGGACCCTGCTGCCACTCCGTGCAGAGCCTCAGAGCATCAGAAGTGGGTTTCAGCTGAAGTCTTTTAAAGCCATTTTTTAATTGCACTGTCCTGTGATCCATTTACTGAGGCAGGAATGCACAATCCATGAACTCTATGTACACACATTAGACTTTTAGGAAATTCATCTTTTGTTTTACAAGGCGTCAGGGACAGCATCCAAACACTCAAACTAAACCAGGCTAGATTTTCTGAGCAAGCCTTCACAGATGAAATAGCCTGACACTGCAGGCTGCCTGATGCTCAACAGCCTTACCAGCAGCTGAACGAAAACCAGTCTCCATCAACTGGTTAACAACAGTGAGGAGTGGGGCAGGGGGGAGGAATCACACTGCAAAAAAGGAAACTGGAAACAGATGGATGCACCTGGAAAACTCACTCTTCTATCTGCTCATTACCATAAAAACAAAATCTTCAAAATATGCCGCTTTGCTACAGTTCATGAGCAGTTTCTAAGCCCAAAATAATCATCTGCCACCCACCGCCAGAGAGCTCCAGTCTCTTCTCCCCAGGCCCAGCTCCCAGCATGCTGGAATTGTTAAGCTTTGGGAGAGATGTGGGGAGGTGGTGCTGGGGTCGGAAGAATGCATTTGGACAAAGAGGAGGACTCCGTGTGACACATTCCACAAACTTTACTCCTTCCAGTTTCTCCGCAAGTCTGGCTTCTTTTCCTAAGAAACACTTTGTTTTGTGCCAGATTTTGGGTGCGACCAATTAGCAGTATTTTGAAGAATTTCAGATAAAAAGAGCTTCCTTTAACAGCTCCAATGCTATTGTCCCAGTTTCCAGCATCAAGCCAGGCAAGGGGAGATAAAGCAAGAACTACTGCAATGGGAGTGTCTCAGTTGCAACACACAGGAAGTATCAAATTCCTATTAAAATACAAACTGGCTAAATGGAACAATCCCACACAGACGCTGTCGGATTCACAGCAAGATAAATTGCAATTTTATGTCTCAGGCAGGACATTTGAGCAGATTAAACTCTGGTTCCCCTCATTTAGCAGGAACATTGTCAGCTGCTCTCCAGCAAAAAGCTCCTGCACCTACATGGACTCTGAGCCTCGGGAACACGACGTACCAGCACCTCCGTGGTACGTCTCTCCATGCCCGGAGCAAGCACTGAGACCACGCCAGGGTGGGCTTCCAAAATTAATTTGGAATTTCCGAGCCATTTCCAAACTGAAGGACTTCAGAAGTCTGGAATTATCAAATTTGTGAAGCACAGAGCTGCTAGAGAGAGGGGCAGGAGGATACTTGGGGAGATGCCTGAAGTTCAGCAGCCAGGGTCTTCAATGAACTGGTTCGTGACCCTTCCACTACAACACCCCTCCACTTCTCCCAGAAAGGTGCTGATTCCCATTTGACAGGTTTGTTTAAGTTGACCCACAGGCTGGCTTTTTTATGGAACCTGCCCAGCCCAGAGACCCTGGAGCTGGAGCCCACAAAGCACAGTGCCAACGTCACTGCTCTACAGCAACAGAAACTTGCACGAGGCACAGTGTGACACCTGGAACAACACAGCTTTTTTTTTTTTCCCCCCAGATCAGCTGCAAGGACTTCTAGATAAAACAGGAACGTTTGGATAATTTGGTTGTATTTTTTACATATTTTTTCCCCCCTCAAATCTACTTCGTCCTTTCTCCAGAACGCTTATCACAAGAGCCCTACTAAATCCATCACTTGTTCCACATGACCTCTAAACACAGACTATTCTAAAGCACTCAAAACTAAGTGCAATTCACCTAACTACGCACTACATTTTCTATGCTTTCAGCAAGTTCCAACAAAATTTTCAATTAATTAGTGACAAGAAAGGTGTTTTGAACCTTTAGGCTCAGCGACGCAGTAGCTGTCGTTAAAGACAGCCAAGTCCATAAACACAATTATGGGCAAAACGTCAGTGTGCAAACAAAAAGCTGTGCTTCCAACAGACTCTGTGACACCCTCACGATAGGAGAACACCGATATAAAACTATGCTACCAGTTGCAGTTATCACAAACACACTTCAGCTATACTGTTAATTTAAACACAAATTTCATGGATTTCTAGATTGCAAAAGACCTTAGAGATCATCCAGTCCAACCGTCCCTAATCTCCCATTAAACCATATCCTTAAGTAGTTCGTCCACTCTTTTCTTAAACACATCCAGGGATGGGGACTCAACCACCTCCCTGGGTTCTAGAGAATCTCAGCAGAAGATAAAATCAACGTATTTGGTACGGAAGGGAAGCATCCGAGCGCTGCTCTTTTAGAAAACTGTAGTTTGACAGACTGCACATTCCTTCTTTCCAGACACGACATGGAGAGACCCATTTGCTAGCTCTCTCCTTTTATTGTCAGCAATACCATAGCAAATTTTCTAAAAAATTTTGCAACTGCTTTTATTTTAGTGAAGCCAACAATCAATATTCTCACAAGAAAATAGTTTCATCTAAAAACCAGCTTTTAGCTCATACCCCCTCCAATCTTCAAAGCAAATTTTAAACTTGTATTTGATGTAAGGAAACAAGATGAGGGACCTGCCTTCTGAGCTTCAAACTAACCATGCAAGTCCTGACTCATAGTTTCTTAATCACTATCCCTACCATTTTCCATATGCTTAACAGCTTTGGCGTTAGTATTTCCAAAGAAAAAGACAGTCTGTGCTACCTGGGCCTGACAGGAGCCTCGGGACTTCTCACTGTCCTTTCCTTGTTTGGCCAACTTCAAGTCATACGTGTCTTCCGTCCCACATCCTTTCTCAGATGTTCAAGCTACGAGTTTTTGCCACGAATAAAACTTTGACACTGCGCCTACGATTAGATGTTCCTCTCTGTCCTCTAATCTTTTTCTCCAACCCCTCCTGACCTGTTTTCACTGGAGAGGAAGGAGGGCGGCGTGAGGGACGCGGGGAGCAGCCCCCTACCTTCGCTGTCCGTGAGAACTTCCATTCGGCCACTGAACATGGCCTTGAGCATGGTGTCCTGCTTGGTCAGGGTCTGCATGGTGGTGTAGTAGAGGGCCCCGCCAATGTTCAGCTTGACGTACTTGGAGCTCGGGCTCGTGCCTTTGAAGGAGGTGGTGCGAGTCGCAGCCGCCGGCACTGCTGTGCTCACCACGCTTTCTCCCGACATCTCTTCCTGCAAGCAAGGAGTTACCAGTTAGACTTGCGGTTTCGCTGCACGACACCCAGCTTCGTGCTACTGCGGGTTATTTTACACAGAAGTAGCCATAAGTGTGCCGGGTATCATCAGCCTCGGCTCCTCCCTGCCTTTTTGAACAGTTCTCAAACATTTTAGCCGTTTGTCTTCTTTCTGGTGGTGACACAAGCCAGCCGAAGAACGTCCATCAACTCAGCCAGCGAAGGACGCTGTGAGAGCTGAGCAGTTTTCACACTGCCGAAGCCAGTGCTTTCCCACAGAAACTGTGTTCACTGCTTTCACCACTTCTAAAGCTCAAGCTCTTCCTTCATGAAGGATCTGGCCCATAATTGGGCAACCTCAACACACACAGCCTAGGCGGATGATCCCTAGATATTAAAACGCAGACTAGCCGCAGATTTTCTCGAGCCTCTTTTTCCTTAAAGCACGCACGGCCCTACAGAGAGCACACACAACCTTCCTGCTAGCACACCAAACCCGGGTCCAACCCCCCCCGCCACCTCTGCCCGCGGTGCCTGGGCAAAGCGGGCTCCAGTGAGCTCAGAGGGTCACAAGCTGTCCCAGCAACGCGCCAGCTCAGCGGGACAAATGCTCTGAGAGCCACTGGCGACAAATCCCTAGCGTCTCCGTGCTCCACTGCTTCGCGTCCCACGGTGGCAGGACGGGATGACGGACACTCGCCCACCTCAGGCGCGGGTCCCCCAGCGCTCAGGGCACGCTGGCGGATTCTGGCTCTGCACGATTTTTGCTCCACCGCCCCGAAAAGCAGGGGACATCAGACGGCAAAACGCAGTTCCGCGTCCAGGCTGCGCTGCGCAGGGCACCGTCCTCCCCGGGACCTGCCCCGGGGCTCTCCGCAGCCTCAGCCCCCCGCTCGGCCAGGGACCGGCACCGGGATCCCCGGAGCGTGACCCCCCCCGCCCCGCGGGGCCTGGGACCACCCGACCCTG